CTATCCAGAACTGAGGATCAGACTTGGTTATCCCGATTTGGTCTTTGGTCTTTGATAAATCTTTATTCCGGGTTTTTGAGTCAGTTCAGTCCGATCTAAACCCAGAATTTTTAGGTCAATCAGGACTAGTAACACAGAATTTTAACAAAAATACAATAGAAATCTTTTGTCTTTATGTTGGACATTTGCAATAATTAAGTTACGGAGTAAATTTTTAGGGAAGTCAAATCTTTAAAATAGCGTAGCCTTTTATCAGTTCTTAAGGTCTAGAAAACTCCAATTCTCATTTCTCTTTATTTCTTTTTTCCTTTGCTCCTGTTATACCATTCCCAAACCCTATTGCGAGATTCTCTTGTTGCCAACTTCTTTGTTGTTCTTATGCTATACTTGCAGCGATAATTAGGTTATGTAACGGTGCTAGGATCTTATTGTTCAATTCATTTTTTTAAAAAAAATGACGAGCTAATGATTTTTTTAGATAGGTTTGTCAAGAAGCTCAAGATCCAAGTCCAATTTAGCAAGTAAAATTACGATCACATTGGAAAAAACACTTGCCCCTATAGAGGTGTCAAAACCACAATTGACCCAACCCGACCTGACCCGATCAGAAACCGACCCGAAAAACATTCAATTCAGATTTCAACTTACGTGGACACGATAATTTAGCATGAATCAACTTTAAAAATTGACCTAACCCAACCCGACCTCACCGAACCCAATCCAATCATTCGAATTGACACCTCCTAATTTAGATCATCGTCTTAAACTCTTCTCAAAAACAAGTTATGCGGTGCAAAACATCTCCTTGTTCCCTGTTTATACCCCAAGCAACAAACCATTTGTTTTCTCCCTCTCCTATGCTTTCTCACTTATTTTTTTTCACATATGACGCTTTATTGTTTTTTAAAGCCCCATATGCAAAGAAATTGTATTTTATTAAGGTCAGTTCTAATAAACCTATTTCGAAACAACAAAGTTTTAAGAATCTCTTGGGATTAGGGTAGTTGGCTAGTTTGGACACATTTGGGGGGTCCCAATTGATATGGTCGGGCTAAAGGCCAAGATCAGACTTTTCAATTTATAGTGGATAAACATTAGGAAAAGGATTTCGGCCTAGAATTAATATGGTTTTTTGTCACAATAATCGCAAAAGGTTATATTGATCAATTCTGTGTTAATGGCGATCGCTTCACATGTTATGTAGTGCTTTGAGATGCCTGCTTCAATTGCAAATAATGTGGATTCTTTATTAGCTAGGTTTTTTCTAGGCTATTAGGTTGATAAAGACACCATCCATCTCTCGAAAGGGTTAGGGGGTTTGAGAATTCATAGCTTAATTTCTTTCAGTACAGCTTTATTAATGAAACATGTTTCGAGGATTAGTCACAATCCACAGCTTCTGCTTTCTAAGGTGTGTGCGACAAAATTCTAGTCTCCTATTCATGGAGGAATTGCTGTGTCGTTGAAAAACAAAGATTACTCTTTTGGAATGCTCGATATCGCACTAGCTGGAAATATGCTTGTTAAGGGGTGTGGTTGGAAGGTGGGAAATGGGAAGTCTATCGTAGCAGGCAAGGATAACTGGATGGCGACTTTGGTGTCAGAATACAAATTTCGCGTGACGATGGTTTAGGCTAAGAATTGGAGGGCCAAAGATTTTTTTTTTTTAAAAAAAACTATTGTGCAGTGGCTAGAATCAGGCAAAACTTTGCGACTGTTTTGAATTTCGGGATGCGTCTGTTATTAGGAGCTGACCTATCTGTATTGGGCGTACGTAACATATGTCGGGTTGTTTTACGGTCAAGACGGGTATGCTTTTTAAAAACAAATTAATCAGGATATGCGGCTTGCTAATAGGTCCACTGACATTGACAAAGTCTTATGGTCTTGGAACATTCTCCCGAAATGGAAGTTGTTTATGTGGATTGTGGAAAGTCTTACGAAACGAAATTGCAACAAAAGGTAATTAATTTGGGAAGACGGGGTTTGGATATTGGTATCTGTCGTGACCTTTGTAGTTGGGAGGAAGCCTTACAACATCCTTTTAGGTTATGTAAGTATGCTAAGGATGCATGGAGGGGTGGCAGTTTACAAATTCGCTCAAAAGTTAATGTAGACCACTCTTGTCTAGACTAGATTTTGTACTTGTGGACACCTACATTTGACTTCTTGTCCCGAAAGGAAGTGCAATGATGATACAAAAACCTATTCTTCAATCTAGATCAAAGTTAAAGTATTGATGGACTTTGAAATATCATATGAAGTTAGTTTTGAGACCAAATCCTTTTAGAGTACAATCCACTTGATAATTAGGCCTAAAGTATGCTCGCACATACTTAATCTTGATTATTAATGGACCTAAACACGTCAAATCAAGTGTTTAAGTCTAATGAACCTTACATTGTTGAAAACCAAGCCAAGAAATTAACCAAACATCATAAAATCCGTGCAAGGCCTATAAAGGTGGATAACCCTTTCAAAGAGCTTTCCAACTATATTACAAGCCCAATTCTGACTAATAACGAAACGAATATGATTAAAACAATAAATCGGGCCAAAATCGACACCCTTTAACTAAATAAGTCTATCTTAAAATCCACAAAAGCTTTTGATCTAACTCCAATTGATTTGGAAAGTAGGCTCCAGAGCTTTCCAACGCTATCTTGTTTGCCTCATTTTGAGTTTGGAATCAAAAGTTATGGAAGTTTTACTATACCGCATTTTTTTAATAAATAAGGCAAATTGGGCATGCATGATTGTTGCACGCGACTCCTAGCTAGAGTTGCACATAGTACCTAAGCGCAACTTTCTTTGTTACGTGCGCCCCCTGACGCGACGTTGCTTAAACCCTAACCTCAGAACCCTACACCTATATATAGGGGTCACGGTTAGACCTTAATAGACTGGAAAACTCAGATAATTGACCACGAAGTTCTAAAACCCTAATATCTTATATCCTCATATTATTCTTATATACTACTCTCATACTATTTTTCCCCTCTTTTCCCAAACACATTAAACCCTAATTAATTTATTCAAAGTTTTTGGAGGCTAAGGTGAAAGAGGAATCCCATAAAATACACGTAAGATAAAGGTTTAGCTAAAAAGAAAATGTTTGGTTTCCTAAGCACATAGTTAAATCACTTTTCATTTCTTGTTTTAATAACTTTAATTAATAAATTATTAGTGTTGCTTGATCATATTAATGAAGATAATGTATTTATTCACATAGTATTCTCTCGTTAATTAAAGACTAAAATATAAAACTAACTTTTGTTTTATCACTTAAGAGGTCTAGCAAATACTAATTTTTCTAATTGTTCTTATTCATGAATTGGAATAATAAAAGAATAACAACTTTCGTTGCAATGTAACCTTTATGTGATCTTTGCTTGTAAATAAAAAACTTACTTAGGTTTAGGTATCACATTGCATATATTTGCCTAATAATGAAATTGTGAATAAGAAAACCTAGTAGGGGTCGTTTTAGGGCTAGGATGTTCGCTTCCCTAAAGAAAATGATATGCTAGTACCATCACTCTCGCATTCAATTTTGGTTTGCAAGACTATTGCTTGGGCAATTCTTTTAAAGGATTAAAGGGAAAACTCGTGCTTTGTACTAAATATCCCTTGCACTCTACTTGGGAGAAAAGTACAAATGGGGTTTATGATGAGTTTCTTCCTAAAAACTCATTGGCGACTCTCTATTTAGTATTAACAAAAAAGTCAATGCTTGTCGTTTGTTTTCGTTCCTCTCGTACCAATGTCTCCCAAACAATCAAAAATTTCAATCCTAATGCATTAATTTAAAAGTGTAAAGTAGTAGGCTTTAAATGGCCTTGGATACAAAGTAATGGTCTATAATGTGTATTATCTAATAGATATTATATTTATGATAATATTTTTCGATCAATAGATTTTTAAATGTTCCGTTTAAAAAAATAATTAGCCTATAGTTTTTTGTTTAGGCTCAATCCAAGACCAGTAAAGCAACGAAACTCAATGCAAAATCATCATTATATTATCAATTCAACATGAAAGTCAAGAAAAACGCAAAGGCTTGTCGTCAAAAACATCAACGCTAACCATAGAGTTTATAATGGATGCAATACCCCCAAACTTACCCACAAAATGTATCTCTTCTTCGTATCAAGTGCGCATGCAAATCCTTCAAAACATTTATTTCGAGCCCCAAATTCATTGATATCTACCGCCGATCCAACTCAAACCGCCTCTTCATCCAACTTATTATTACCCATATCATGACTATGAATACAAATACCAACAAATTTATGGGTTAACTAAAATTAATTTTTTTTAAGGTGAACAGAACAGAGTATATAAACCGATAATGGATTTCAACCATCAGTTTAAGTTTTTAGTTGGGTTGATTTTTTAGCATAACATCAAGAGCCAACGTGACACAAAAGTCACGGGTTCAAATCTTATTCACCCTTCCTTTCAAAATGGAATGATATTAAGCGCTGGATATATATGGTGGGGCCCATGATAAAGTATACTAATATCAGTTAATTATATACTTGGGTGAATTTTGACTATTCTTTTAAAGTTGCGAATCTGTTAACTATTCTTTTATTTCATTGTTTATTTTGTCCCTCGTGCTTAATTTGATGGTCTGATATTGTTAGTTAAATTCACAAAAATTATACTTACCGACAACGAGCCATGGTTCTTTATATTAATTAATGTGAAAAGAATTTTCAAAAAGATATTCTCAACCAATAATATTCTAGATATAAAAATGTTTTTGTTTAATGCGCGTATGGATTTTTTTTTTTTTCCTAAAATAATAATGGAATTGTTAAATAATAATCTCCAACATTCCCTTCATGGCTTCATTCCGCCAAAATATAAATTAATAATATCCTTGCAGGAATATATCCTCCTCCATAGTCTTAACTTTAATTTTAAAAATACCCTAAAATAAACATAATCTATAAACTCTTACATGTATAACGTGTTAGAATAAACTTAATTGTTTATCAAAGAATAATAATAATAAAAAGAAAGTTATATATACCGAGCATATGCATCAAACTACTATCATATCGCGCCTTCTCTTCAAATCTCCTGCACTGACATTCTTTCCTACTATAACAACCAAATTTTAAGTTTTTGTTTCATTCATGGCGACAATATCATCTTCAATTTCTGCTGATTTCAGGTGAATTTTTTATTTATGTATTTTTTTTCTTTTTTTTGTTTTGCCTACCTCTTCTTTCAGGTGAATTTTTTTTTTTTATTTATTTAGTTATTAAAATTTCTTTTTATGTTTCTTCTTTGGTTGAAATGCAAGTTCATACTATTGAAAAATATTATAAGGTCATTGTAACACGACGTCTACAATGAATTTATACTTTTGTTTTATGATCTAATCACTTTACTATAAAGGAAAATGTCCTTTTTAATTTGGTGCATGACGTATGGCATAACTCTAAATGTACTACGTACGAGGGAGATGGATTGGTGTGACTAGTATAAATATTCAAATGCTGCTTTATGAAAAAGAGGAAGTATTAACTTTAATCACTGTTTAACCAATACTTGTATATAAAAAATGTTATTATGTAAAGTGTTGTTAAATCATTAGTTTTATTGAATATTTTTTATTATTAAAATATCATATTTTAAATAACTTTTTGTCAAAAACTATCTAATAAGACTCAAAATTTGTGAGAAACTACTTAACATAAAAAATGTTGTAAGAAACTACCTAAAAAAAGGTAAAATGTTGTAAAAGACTAACTCTAACTGAATTTCCACCGTTAACCAGTTTTTTCGGCGTTGACCCACCAAAAAAACACTTGAAACCGCTCGCTTTGGGGGTGGAGCGTGGTTTTGGCTTGGTGGAGGCAATTTCAAGTAGTTGTGTTGGATTTGGGGATGAAAGCGGGTGGTTTTAGAGGTGTTTTGTGGTGGATCAACGCCTGAAATTAGGTCAACGGTGAAAATCCGATCAAAGGTAGTCTTTTATAACATTTTACCTTTTAATAGGTAGCTTCTTACAACATTTTTTTAAGGAAAATTTGCAAAAAAACCATCTTTTATGAGAAATTTTTTGCAAGAAACCTCCTTACAATTTTTTTTTTTTTTTGCTTATTTGCAAAGACATACCTTAATCAATTTTTTTTTTTTTTTTTTTGCGAAAACATACCTTTATGTCGGAAAATGGGGTCAAACCCCATTTTCCGGCATTGACTACCCCAACCCCACCCACGAAACCGCCCCCTCCGCAACCCCATTCACGAAATTACCCCCTCCTTAGCTCCACCCACAAAACCACCTCCCCTCCTCATCCCCACCAACGAAATCGAACTCCCTTCTTTCCACCATCCCGCGGAATCTGAGTTTAGGGTACTTCGAGTGTAAATTTAGGGTTTGTGGAGCGCAGTTAGAGGTGTCGGCGCTGACGGTGGAGGGGAGAAGGGTGGTTAGGGCTATAGAGGAGGGTTTAGGGTGGTCAACACCGTTAAAGGGGTGGGTTTAGGGTGGTCAACGTCGTGAAAGGGTGGTTTTGTGGATGGGGATGGAGAGGGAGGTGGTTTCGTGGGTGGATTGGGGTAGTCAACGCCGAAAAAGGGGTCAAAAACCCCGGCTATAATCCGGCATAAAGGTATGTTTTCGCAAAAATATTTTTGATTAAGGTATGTCATTGAAAAAAAAATTTATTTATAAGGTGGTTCCTTGTAAAAAAAATTCTTATAAAAGGTGGTTTTTTGCAAACATATATATATATATATATATATATATATATATATATATATATATTTTAATTTGGTAATCTCTCACAAATACTAGGTTTTATTAGGTAGTTTCTGACAAAAAATCCTATTTTAAACTAATAGATGATTGAAAATTAAACTGTAACAATTCTTACAAATATAATTTAGAATAGAGGAAGGTTTAAGTTGATAAAGTTGTGGAAGCTAAGAAGTTCTATTAAATGAAGCTACAAAGTTGGTTACATTTTATTAATTTAATTTGTTGATTTTGCCATTAACAACCATATTACTAGTGGTGAGAATGGGTATGCAGAAATTGACTGGGACAATATAGGATTCAGCCTAACGCCTACAGATTATATGTACAAGATGAAGTGTTCCAAAGATGACGAGTTTACAGTTATAGAGGCTAATCTAATTCCATATGGAAACATTGAGTTGAGCCCTGCTGCTGGTGTTTTGAACTATGGCCAGGTACTTATCTATGTTCCTCGAACTCAGGTACTAATTTATGTCTTACATGGGTATCAAAGTGTTGAACAAGGCTATTTTAATTTGTGAAAATTAAGTATGATATTTACCCTATGTTGGAGACGTGGAGTATCGAGGATCTAAGATGGCCAGGTTCTTGAAGTGAAATGAAGAGTTCGAGCAACATAGGTCACAACAATTATTAAATGTGACAATATTTTGCTTTAATTTGTTACTTTCTCTCTCCTCTTCTAGCTAATAATTGTAGCTTTGTGTTTGCGAAGGGTCTATTTGAGGGAATGAAAGTTATAAGGAGAGAAGATGGGAAGCTAGTCTTATTCCGACCCGAAGAAAATGCGTTACGCATGAAAATAGGCGCCGAAAGAATGTGCATGCCTTCTCCTTCTGTTGATCAATTCATTGATGCAGTGAAGCAGACTGCTCTTGCTAATAAACGATGGGTGTGTGAAGAATTATTATTCTACCCTTTTTGTGAAAGGAATTAACATAAAATGTTTAAGAATCTGATTCTTAATTATTGTTTGATAATATTTTGTTTTCTATAATGTATGTAACAGATTCCTCCTCCAGGGAAAGGCTCACTTTACATTAGACCTTTGCTTCTAGGAACTGGACCGATCCTCGGTCTATCCCCGGCTCTTGAGTACACATTTCTTATCTATGCTTCTCCTGTTCGCAATTATTTTAAGGTAACTTCTACTCTCACGTACATATGTTTTGATATGGAGTTAATTAATTAAGTCCAAAAAATTAAATCGTGTTCATTCTTTTACAAAAGGAAGGAAGCGCAGCTTTGAACTTGTATGTCGAGGATCAATTTGATCGTGCATCTCGTGGTGGTTCTGGTGGTGTGAAATCAATTACCAACTATGCGCCAGTAAGCAATTCGAAATCAAATTAAAACTTTAATAGTAAGCCATTCTAACAATATATTTGTTAGTAGTGTAATTAATCTCTTGATTTGTAATTTTTCAGGTTTTGAAACCTATGACTAAGGCAAAAGACAGAGGATTTTCGGATGTTCTATATCTTGATTCTGTGAGCGGAAAATATATTGAGGAAGTTTCTTCCTGCAATATTTTTATTGTCAAGGTTATTCATCTTAACGCAGCTAATACATGTACCCATCATTAATTCATTAATTCCTACATATAATACTTGCCATTTTTGTCAATTGAATGCTTTTATATACATCTTGGAGTAGTTTTCGAAAACTACTATATACATAACTATATTTCTTGTGTACGAGTTTGAATGAATCAAGATTCAAGAGTAAGATGATTCAATTGAAAATTTGTACTTTTCATTCTTATTGTAGGATAAAATAATATCGACCCCAACAATAAATGGCACCATTCTCCCTGGTGTAACAAGGAAAACTATCATAAATATTGCTTGTGATCATGGTTTTAAGGTATGTCATCTTATACTATATTATACCCAGTAATGATTGAAAATTCTATATTAGTCGTTTGAAATATGAATACCATAATGTTTGAAAATTCTATATTATACATTTATACCCATTATTAGTGCAATTGTTACTATTAGTATATTACTTGTAGCAATACTTAACTAGTACAATGCCGCAAACAGGTTGAAGAACGACAAATTGCTGTGGAGGAATTGCTCGAAGCAGACGAAGTTTTTTGCACCGGAACTGCTGTTGTAGTTGTACCCGTGGGAAGCATTACATACCAAGGCAAAAGGTGTCCATGTTTAGAGTTCTTCTATTGTTTTCAATTTCAATCGATTATAGCCTTATTTATAGGCAATGAGAAATCAAAAAGAGAGGGTTTCACTAATTTACTTGATCAAAACTAAAACTATTTTTAAAGCAGGATGAATTCTTTGTGTAAATGTTGCAGGGTAGAATACCATACAACAGATACAAATTCAGTGAATAAGAAGTTGTTGTCAACATTTGTCGCGATTCAAAATGGTCAGGTTGAAGACATCCATGGTTGGCTAGTTGAAATTAATTAATTGAGGTCTATTGTTTCTCCTAAGCATGAAACAACCCTTCAAATCTTCAATTGAACAAATGTAGTTCAATACATAAATTGTATTTCGCAAATTTTCTTATAGATGAAATTAAGCTATGAAGATCATGTTATTTTATACACTAGTAAGGCCAGGTGGTTAACTAAATATACTTCTTTGCTTTGTCTCAAAAAAACTAAAAAAAAAAATGAAAGGCCATTTGGTGGTTGAATTTGGCTATTTAAGTTTCAGATCTGAAACATCCGGTCGAATTCGACCACCACGGGTTGAATTTAACACTCAGTTTGCCGGAAAATGTCAGAATTAATTGTTTTTGGCGAAAGAGGTGAAGGTGGGTGGTGGTTTTGGTGAGGTTAATGGAGGTATGTAGTGGTTTGGGTGAGTCGGTGAGGTTGCTAGATTATATGCTCCTAATGTAACAATCCGTAATTTTAAAGGTTAATTAATTTAAGGAAAATTTGAAAAATACCACCATTTATTGTTCACATTTTGTACAATACCATCTCAATTTTTTTTTATTTATTATTTATTTTTTATTTTTATTTATTTTTTATTTATTTTTATTGTATATTACCACCTAATTTTCTCAAAAACCCAAAAAATCTCACTTCTTTTGCCCATCTCCCCTATATGACGTCACGGTGGGTCTCACTAACCAATTTTCCTTCTTTCTTCCTTCAAATTTCACCTTTCTTCCCTAATCATCCTAATTAACCAATTTTGCAACTAATTAACCCTAGAATCAACTCCCCAAATTTATTTTATAAACCTTAATTATTGAAGCACCCCCAAATTGATTTTATAAACCCTAATTAAACAAAATTCTCTATAACATGATTATGCCCTCGATTTTGCATTATCGTTTGGCTTGAAGAACAAATTAGCGAATTAAAACCCTAAATAACGCCTAATTGATTCGCAAATTGATATTAAAATTAGATAAAGAGGAAGAAGAAGGAAGAATAGAGGTGAGAATCGAGGGAAAAGAGAGGTACAATTGGAAGTGGGACCCACCGTGACGTCATATAGGGGAGTTGGACAAAAGTGGTGGGAAAAAAAAACTTGAGGTGGTATTGTAGAAAATATGAACAATAGATGGTGGTATTTTTCAAATTTTCCTTAATCTAATTTAAATTATATTAATGGCTTAAATGCGATCTAATTTGGGGTTTTATAAATTTTGTTATTAATTAAAGTAAGTTGAAACGCTCCTAAATAGACTTCTCCCAGAACAAACCCTAACCTCTCTCCTCCCTTTATCTTTAATTTTTAAAGGGCTTTAATTTCATCGGATCTTGCCGGTGGAAAGCCCCAATCTAAGTTTTTTTTTTTCTTTTTGTTTGTTTTTAGCTTATTATCATGGTTCCTCTGCTTGAGAGGAACTTGTCTTTTTCGAAAGAAAGGGTTTTTCTCCTTCGAAAAACAAGGTTTTTTCAATCTCTTTTGAAAGACAATGTTTTTCGAACTCCTTCGAAAGACTATTAGAAAAAGGGTTTTTAACGACGAACTTTTTCATCGTTAAAAGCCTAAAAAATCGTCGTTCAAACTTTTAATGACAGAAAAATGTTCGTCGTTTATTTGATGTAATAGGCTCCCTCGTTATTGGTTATAACGACAATGTTCGTCGTTAAATAGTAACGACAAGAATAGTTTTTCATCGTTAACCATTAACAATGAATAAAGAAATCGTCGTTAGTACTTATATTATTAATGATGAGCTACCAAGCAATAAAGACCAAATAATCCTTCGTAAAACACAAAACCAACTGTAAAAAAAAATAGTAATTATAATATTGACGGCCAAATATATATATTGTAGGTAACGATAAACACTTTTACCAAGAACCTTTTTCATCAATTTTTTTTTGAGACTACCTATATATTCATTTAAATTTTAAAAAATCAAGATAAATAATAAAAAATATTAACATTAACAAATTTTGTGTTACATTCCAAGTCTGCTATAATCTAACAATTACATCCAATCTAAAAAGAACATTATGCGTAGCATAATAGAATTGATCAATATAAGAAATAACAAAGTAGTTTAATAATAGAATTGTGTTAATATAGTGTACTATGTATCATAAACGACCTCTCTTCTAAACAGATAATCAACCATTTTCTTCTTCTTAAAAGACTCCTCCAATTCAATACTTTTGTGAGAGCATGCCTTGTTTTTCTACCACGCTCCACTTTCTTCCCTGAAATCAATTTCTACCACGCTCCACTTTCTTCCCTGAAATCAATTAAAAATATAAAAGACTGAGGGCGCATTCTTTGAGATGAATATTTCTTCTTAAACAACTTGACAGTTGACAATCTCAACCTGCAAACATTGATAAATTAAAGCAAATATATTTAATTATTTATCATATATTAATCGAGCAACTAACCAATATTGCAATACAAAGTTACTAAACAATGAATTGCCAAACAACTAGGAAGTAAAGACTACTACCTCTAAACTAGAGAAAGAAAAGGAGCCATGGTTTCATTTTATAGATTGCCAATTATGCATTAGGAAATTAGTAGGACAACATAAATTATACAAAATATAGGGTTTTGGACCCGGAACAATGAAAATTCACCTAGTAAAGTCGACATTGATACACGTTCATATAAGATCGTCAATGACTAAAATAGAGAGTCTAAATTATCCATGCATAATGCTCTTGACTATCAGCAAGCTAAACCACAAAATATCCTCTTATACATTATATTTGCAATGTACACATCTATTTAACAAGACAACAACCAAAAAAGAAAACACAACAACAATCATGACCACTGACAGTTATCAAAGATAAATAATCATCAAAAATTTATGGAATACGTCTAGAATCCAATTAAATAATGAGCACTATTATTTGACTACTACTCTAATTAAATAAAACAAAGGTTATAGAATTGAAAACCCAAGTCTATTAACAAGCGCTTACCAGGTAATTGAGAATTGTCACACAAAAAATTCAATTTAGTCATTTATTCAATGAAATTCCGTATTAATGGGATAAATAACTCGATAAACAACCAGAATATTTAAATCATACCTTCAATTACTGTCAATTGACATCATCAGTTTAATAAATTGCATTTAACATCAACGACAACTCGAAATTGAAATATAAACTAATAATTTTTTTTTCTTTAAATTTTGGAAATGACCCGCTCTTTTAATTCAGAACTAGTTTAAGTCCTGTGTAACGCACGGTTTTTACTTAATATAATTATGAATTACTATGCTAATTTAACAAGAATTAAAAAAAAAACAATATTTTTAATTGAAACAAATACTTGAATTTCTTTTAAAAAAAATCTAACTTGAATTTTATGTTATATTGATATCAAAAGTTACTCGATTTGATCATTAAACATTTAAAAAAAAACAAATTTAATGATTGTAGGATTTTATATAAGAATAAAATTTTATGTTATTTATAACCCGTGCAATGTACTTATATATTCCATATGTTCCTATTTTGTTGGCATGTTTTGACCGGCACAATATTTTATAGCATACTTTGACCTACACAAGTGTTTTATACAAATTAAAGTGACTTATTTTTTGTGACAATTAATAATCAAGGTTTTTTTAATTTTTATTTTATATTTATAGTTATTGAATTGTAGTGTTATTATTATAAATAAATCAACAAATATATAATAAAAGTTAAAGTGTTAATCTCAGTTGGAGCAAAAAAACTTTCAAATGAAAAAATATGATGTAGAGTGATACGGAGTATGGAAGTAGTACATTATTCTAATAATATTACCTTATATACGTAGTATATGTTGTTTATTATAGAAAATACATATTATAAAATATATGAAAGACATGTTAAAATATTTTCATTGAATGCATATAGAATATAGTCACCAAATTGAAAGTTAGATATATAGGATATATCAATTAATATGCATGAAGATTTGAAAAAAAAAAAAAAAGGAAAGTGAAAGTGGTGGGAAATTTTTTAATCAGAACATGACAAGTGTTATGTCAGATTCGCTTTTAGTATTATGTTATTGATTATTAATTGATTTCCTTTCTTTTTTTATTTTTTTTTGTGTTTGTGATTTGACAAGAATATCTAAAAATATCTCATTAGAATTAACACGTGTTTATCCATTATAATATACTTCGTATGTAGTAAGTAACATTGCTATATCTATCTACTTAGTAGGATTAATTTAAAATATGGTTCAAAATCAAGACACCAAATTTTGGGTTCAATTAGGGTTTAGGTTCCTAATTTTGCAACCAAATTTATAGATATCACTGATTTCATGATTTGACTCATTTGTAAGGCTTTACGGTCTGGCCATCTCGCATAGTTTTCTAACAGGCAGGCCCATTGATAAACGTTTGTTTGCTAGACTCCACACATGCCCTGAATCAGATAATGTGAAATTAAGTTCTTAATTGAGTTATTTGAACATATGAAAAAAAACTACTTGTATATCAAAATTGTCGTGACAAAATATAAATATGTGAAAATAGTATAGTAAAGGGGGGTGTACCATAAATTAAATATTCTTTTATTTATATATAATGTTTTTTTTTTTTTTTTTTGAAGAAATTTATATATAATGTTTATTTTTATATGTAATGTTCATTTCATCATTTCAATCTCTCTCTCTTCGATACTCTGTATCTCCTCTCCCTCTCTAACTTCTTCTTTTATTTTATTTCTTGATTTTATAGCTTTTATGTGCTTAATTCATCACTCACTAATACATTTTTATTAGATTTAACACTCCAAATCCGAATTTCACAATCAAATTTTCGGATTTTTCATGATTTGAGAATTTTGGGTATTTTTTATTTTAGCTAAAAGAACTTGCAATGGAGTGTCCTACTTGCTTGATTTCCACTTAATTCACTTTACAAGGGTTTCCTACTCATTTGAGGTATGATTTCTCTTTCTTTGTTCATCTCTGTGTTTACTTCATGAATATGAAACCCTAGGTTGTGTTTTAATGGTGAACTCTCTTTACTTGTTCTTTTTACCTATATTTTGTGTTTTGTGATGATGTTTGTTGTTCAAATAAAGCTTTATTATCATGAAATTACTTGATTGTTTGAATTTTTTGGTACTACCATTGTTATTCATCATCTTCTTCCATGGGTTTGGATAATAGCATTTTTCCATTATTTATATGTAATGTTCTTTTTAGAAAGATAATATTTTTTTATTTATATGTAATGTTATTTTATTTATAAGTTGTGTTCTTTCAATTATAATTAATGTTCTTTATTTTATAACATGACGTACTCTATATATGTTTTTTTTTTTTCAGAAAACATGACGTATTCTATGTTCGTTTGTAATGTATAATAAATTATTATTACTACGATTTTTTTATTTATAGATTATGTTCTTTTATTTATATGTAATATTCTTTTATTTATATGTAGTGTTATTTTATTTAAAGGTAATGTTCTTTTATTTATAAGTTATGTTCTATTTATTTATTGGGTAAGTTCTTCCGGGTGTACCATGCGATTGGTACACCTGCTTGTACGAAACAATAACTGAAAAATATGTGAGTCCAACATAATTTACAACTATTATGTTCTGATTCATTTTTTATAGACGACCACAAAAGAGATTCAAGGGGACATTTCTTTACTGTGAAAGGCTTTACCTTCTAAGGTGCATTGTTTGTTTGTTTGTTTTTGAAGAACGAGACCTTACGTTAGGAGGAAGAATGAGATATTAGGACCTCAACTCTCAAAGAGTTCCTATTATTTATCATCGGGGACTGTCATATCCCGCATATGGTGTAGCAAATTGAAGTTCCATTGTGAACAATATTATGAAGAAAACCAATATATAAGAATAAACGAGTATTTGTAAATTATATATACTCCATCCTATTCTCATCGACCCACCAAACAAGAAATTGGCAGAAATTGGATAAATTTCCAAACACCAT